TCTTCAATTCATTCGATCCAAAAACCAAAAACGGAGAGAAGTGTGTGAAAAGTAAAAATGAGTGTGTGGATAGCACTACCCAGTTTACAAACTTCTTGCACCAAGAAAACTATGTTGTCAACCCTTAAATACATATATATATATATATATATATATATATATACTTCTCTTTTTCAAAACTAGGTTGTCATTGTAGAAGTTTTGCTTCGATTTCCAACATCAATGATTCCACTAATTAATTTTAGAGATGTATAAACTAATCAACTGTTATGATACAACTACAAACAAAATTCTGTATATATTATACTCTTTGGAAACATTATCGTAATGAAGAAGCCTAATTATATTATTAACGTTAATAATCTCGAACTAGGTAGTTAGTATCTGTTGAGGTTGTAGCTGTTATTTGAGACCTTATGAAAACTTGAATTGATAGGTTGCTCCTGCCCTACCACCCACCCTCTTCAGCTCTCCAAGAACTTGGACTTAAAGTTGTTCACTCACTGTCATCCTCGAACTAAAATTCTAGAAGCAAACAAATAGACATTAGGGTACGTCTTGGAGTTTATCGGAGTTTTGTGACGTAGTTATGTCTTGTAGTTTTAGATTCCTTATAAAACGATAAAAATGAATAAAAATAAACATCGATACATAATTAGCATCTTTGGTACTCCAGGCTTTGGAATAGGACAATGGACTTTGTCTCATCGTTCAAATCATGGGTTTAATCCAAATCTTTTACCTACTCGCAGGGGACCATTTTTCTGGAGTAAAAGACAGGGTTTTGTTAATGATTGATGCTTATGGTTCCTGAATTTGAAAGTTTAAAGGGAGCACTAAATTATGATGATGTCACATGAATGTATTCAGCTTTGCCTCTAAGCAAAGGAAAAACACTGGTCACCTCCGAAATTAACCTAATTATTCTTCAAACATTCGAAGCAAATGGCCGGCCTAGAAACACAGCGAAAATTAAATTAAATTGTGTGAGGGCAGCAGGTACATACATGTGTCAATCATGCACATTTTCAATAGCTGAGAAAGCCAATTCCCCATTTTCCAAAAGTCCCTGTCCACTTTATTCTAACAATTTTGGGGACTATTGGCGGCTTCCTATTGAGCCCAAACTATATGGAAGCAATGTAATGATTCTAATGTTGACTTGCCTAATCATTATTTTCCCTCTAAAGGGGAACAAGGGATTCACTTGTAGTCAATCAGGAGTTTCTAATATTTTTTGGCGTATCTTACAATCCAAAAATTTTAGCCATAAGATTCTTGATCAAAATTATAATTATCTAAATTTAACAGCTAAAAATTTTGGATTAAGAATCCCCATTACATTGTAGAATTTTCGAGTCAACCACCCCTATTTATGTTTTCTTATTAACTGCTAATAACTAGGCATCTTATTAACAAGTGGGTTTTATTTATTTTGGTCAAATAATCAACAGATAACATTTTTTTTCTTTGGAGAAATTCCTTGTGAAATTCATGACTCCTCTCAATTTACAACACACAAATAGCAAGCGTGTCTCTACCTCGATTACATTTATTATGAAGTAGAAATACTTCCTTTTTTTTTTTTTGCAAATGATAATATCTACACTAAAAATGAATATCAAATAGACTGTAATACTTAGTGAATGAAGTAGAAATACTTAAACATGACAATATACAGACGTAAAAGGAAACGAAAAAAAAACTTGTTAGGCCAGATAAACCCTGGAGCAGAATTAGATTTGAACAGGTGAAAAAACTGCCACAACATATATTATTGAGTGAATAAGTTGTGTAAGTGTAGCATACCCCAGCAATTATTAGGCAACGCTTATCCATCAAGAGGGGGACCTGCGTAATGAGTACCCACGTTTCCATTCCCTCTCTAAAAATTGAAAAGATAAATAGTGGGTTAGGTTTTGGGCGAATGAAATTCTTAACAATTGAACAATAAGCATTCATAAAAATGACTGATTGAAATGATCACATACGTAATTATGTTAAAGTAAGTAGTAAAGGTGATCTCAACTTTTTGCCCTTCCCATTTCAATTAAGGCAAAGGGTCTTAAAGAATTCAATTCAACAATAAGTTCTAGAATGAAGTTAAGCATCCAATGAAACATTAGCGTTAATTAAATTTTACATCTTCCAGGTATGGGGTGATTTCAAAATTAGTCACAAAGTTTTAATTTTCTCATATTACACTCTAAAGTATTGAAATTGTATCTTTTGGTGTCTTCGGTCTGATTAGTTGTATAAGATATAGTTCATTAAACTGATGACGTGGTAAGCTTGAGACTCTTATATAGGATAATATGTAAACCACATTTGCATCATATTGAAAGAAAAAAGCTCATCAATTTTTCAATTAGTATGCGGTGGAATCTCAACATTTTTCATAGTACCAGAACAAGTTGTCTTATATGCAAAACTCAATGGCCACATGTGTTCTACGCCACGTCCGTTTGTGTTGTCAACGTGTTCAATTGGCTTGAAAATTCGTCACACATAAGGAGGCGTGTTAGAACGAATCATAATGGGAAAATGTACATTGTATGAGTTTATAAGTAAGTTAGATTATTCCTCATATTGACAATTGATTTTGTATTGGAACCTCAATTTTTTTTTTTTTTCAGGGAAGAGAGAGTGATAAATCTAGTGGATAGATATTATTTGGTAACTTCTCAAGTAAAATATAGATGTATTAAAACTATTACTTAGACTAGAAAATAATAAGGTGTTCGTGGGAAGCTACCTCAATGGCGACCAAACCATCGTAGCCATACACAAGCGATAGTTTCTTTTGGTTAATAGTTGATAGTCAATATCATATTATTGGTTGCAACATGTTTTCTACCCTACATATACGAAAATAAGAAAGAAGTGTACACATTTTAATAACACATTTAAGGCCACCGTATATTAGTATATTAAATATAAGTTACATACATTACTCGTCATATTATAGGTCTATAACGATACTCTATAAGGTCATCTCCAATTGAAGGCTAGCCAAATGGCTCGTTTTAGCCCTCTGGTCCTCCAAAAAAATAATATTTTAATGAACAGTATAGGGCCATATTTCTTACCATCTCCAACCGAGAGTCAAAGGGCCATAAAGCTCGTTTTAACCTTATCACAAAAAAATATCTCCAACTAAAGGTCATAGGTCCAAACATAATTTATTATTTAAAAACTACAACTAAATACAAATTTTATGTTGTTTAATGTTATTTAATGTTGTTTAATATTGTTTAATGTTGTTTCATGTTATTTAATGTTTAATGGTTTAGAAGTGATAGGGAAAAAAAAAGAATTTTTACAAGGTTTAAAACATATTTTGTAGTAATAATAATAATAATAATTATTATTATTATTATTATTATTATTATTATTATTTAAAAATAACGGCTAACGTACTTCAGCAACTAGTCGTTACAAATTTTAATTGGAGCCCGGTCAGGGGCCGGCTGGTTGGCTGGTTGGTTTGGGCCAACCAATTGGCCTATGACCTTTTTTTGTCCAGTAGGGCCCACAAGCCTTCTGGCCTGACCCTCGATTAGAGACCGTTTTCAGGTCATTTTCGACTTTCTAGCCCTCTGGACCCTTCGGTTGGTGATGGCCTAAGGGATTGACTTTCATGCAGTCATAAAAAAAAATTGATACCAACTTAGGCCACTTATATATAGAAATAAACAGGGACAAAGAGCTCCAATATCTCTAATCCAATTCAAAGTAGAACATCATAGGCATAAAAAAGAAGTGAACATGTTCTCAAACTTCACTTTTTACGCATTTTTTAGGTAGCAATTAACAAGAGAAAAAATAACGTCTAGTCAAACATTGTGAAGTAGTGAAGAAAATCGTTCTTGACCAAAAAAGTATGTTATAAATTCGAGAAGAACTAGCAAACGAAAAAACAATACCAAATTAAATGACAAGTCAAATCTAAGCACGTTGTACAAACTTACATTTAAAAGAATTAAGAAAATAAAGAACACTAGTTATAATTTTTTTTTTCTATCTTACCATTTCTCTTGTATCTCACAACCAAATTGAGTGGCAAGACAAACCCAAGCCACTAGTTGTAATTTTTATGTTATTTTTTTGTCTTCCCATACCAGAAGATAAAAACAGCAAGAAAATGTTGAAGTACAATGAAACAAAAGCAAAACAACTTCTTTAGAAAATAATGCATCCAGTAACTTGATGGACCAACCTAGAAAAGTAACAAATATTTGAGTTATCAAACCTAGAAAAGTAACAAGTAAAAGTAAAGTCATATGCTTGTATGATTATATATTTTTATATCTTAATTAGCTTATCTTTATTAGTGTTAAGCTGAAACGTATCTGTCACGCACTTGCATTAGTAAAACTTGTGAACAGTGTTACCACTTCTCCAAGACTCAGATTCTCAACTAAAACAAATACTAAAAGAAATCTAAATATTAAAAGACAAGCGGAAGTGGAGATGTGGAGATGAGGATTGGATAGTGGTTCCTTTTTATCTTTTCGGGTCAATTGGTATTGTTTTTGTGGCCACTACCCTCTCACTAACAGATCTCAACACCCTTGGTTTTGAAATTGGCAACTATTAAGAAAACAATGGCCCCAAAACTATCTATATTAATATTATAACAAATAAAACTAGTATATAAATTATTGAATTAAGTATTCAAATAATAAAATACATAAATAAAAAGAAAATATTTTTTATCACCAACTTAACTGATGGTTGGTGATGCTCATCACTCTATTTATCATTGTTAAATGAGCTTAAATTTTAAAATTTCTATAGTGAATAAACACAAATATTACAATTTAAACTAATCAACCAATGATAAATAAGGTATTGAACATTTCAAGGTAGTGAGTGAAAATGCAAAAAAAAAGGAGAGGGAGAGAGAGAGAGAGAGAGAGAGAGAGAGAGAGAGAGAGAGATTGTGAGATTGTGTATGGTAATTTTATAGTATTAAGTATGGCACAAAGGCACATACCAGAAAAGGGTGTTGCATGAAAGCCAAAGCTCATTGGCCACTGGTGAGTAGTTCCATTACACTTGTGCGCATATATCATCGCTCTCTTCGCCCCTCCTTCTCCCCTTCCGCCCTTCTCTCTCTCTCTGCTTTGCTCTTCTGCTTGTAACTGTACCCACATGGCTCCTAGCAAATGGGGTTTCCCTGCTTCTGCTTAGAACTCAAATTAAGCTGCTGTTTCCACTTATTCTACAAGCACTTCTGCAATTGGGTTCTTCTCCATCAACCACACTGTTAAAAGGGTCCGTTCAGAATCTTAGACCTGTTTCTATGCTTTCTTTCTTTTCTTGCAGTTATTTAGCTTCTACAGCTGCGATTTCCGGTTTTCGCTTACATGATTGTTCTCTCTTCTAAGTTATCATATTTTTGCTAATATCTTTCACAATTCTGTATCTTTTGTTGAGTTCAATTTAGTCTTTTGCTATTTCTCATTATTTTCTGTTATCTAGTTTTTATGAGTGCCTATTTTCTTCTCTCTCTTTTTTTTTCGAAATTTTCGTTTTATTTTTTCCCTAAATTCAGCTTGTTTTCAGCTTCTATGTACTAATTGGAAGCTCATGTGGTCAGTTAGACATTCTTTTCTCATCTCATAGAAACATGTAGTTGCATCTTGTTTTCAATTGTTTCATTAAAATCACATATAGTTGAGGCGTGTAATCTCATAGGAACATGTAGTTGCATCTTGTTTTCAATTGTTTCATTAAAATCACATATAGTCGAGGCATGTAACATGTTGTTACCAACTTTTCGCTCGAATAACAACACAACCGCATGTCTATGCAATTGGTATGTTACCAACATATAGTTTTTAACAACACAACATATAGTCCTTTTCTTTCATTAGCCGAAAGGTAGCATAATTGGTATGTTTTTAACATTCAACTTTGAATTTGCAGGCATTGTACGGAATATTTGAATTCGAATTAAGACTGATTCATTGCTGGCATCATTAATTTTGGGGGAACAACATGTCTATGCAAACTGTGTATTTCAAAGAACATGAAGGAATTGCCCCTAATCCCATAGGGCAGTTTTCATCAGCATTGTCAGGGCCTTGGTGGAGTGCCTTTGGATCTCAACCGGTGTATGGGGAATCCTGTGGCCAGTCGAAACCTTTTACGAGGGAACAGCCCAACACCGGGGACCATTTCACCGCCACTAAACTTGCCGGGCAGGGTACTGAACAAGAACTGGAAAAAGGGCACACAAATCTGTTCACAATCTTTCCTGGTAATAATATCCTCTTTACTTTTTATGTCTTTCCTTTTCTAAAAGATTTTTCTTTATGAAATCTCTTGGTCTATAACATTTACTTAGTGACTTTAAAAAGAAAAGGAAATACTTTACTAGCTTCTTTTTATCACTTAAATTTATGTATGAAGATAAGGTCCGTTTCCTTCGTCATGAAGATCCCTCGTTGTTTCCTTGTTCATCATATAGACTGATTGGAGATGGGCTAAAATGTGGGGTCAGGAAACGCGTTTTTTTTTTCGTATCAAGATGTTTAAGGATACCCTTTGGTGAAGAGATGAGTAAGTTAGTACTTGAGTAAGTTAGTACTTGAGGGATACTAGAGGGGGTATGAGAATCGTTCTATGTCATCCTCAAGGTTTTTTTTACTTCATGTGAGCTTGTTGACGAGTTTTCATAAATATCATAGCAGTTCTGCTGCAAAACATGAAGAAACTAAATATAAATTTTAGTAAAACTAGTTAACAGGGTTTGTGGAAGATGAGAACTAAGATAGTAAGAAGAAGGTTTATGAAAAAGACGCACCATTACATGTTCAAATAATGTCCTTTTTGGGATCATATGTCAGAACTAATGCTGCGATGATCATAGTATTAGAGGCTTTAGGAAGTTGAGGTGGACTTTCATTTGCTATAATCTCTTTCCCAATAAATTTGATTACGCTGATGCGATATCCTATAACTTTGAAGTATGATCTTCATCAAGTTTAGAAATAATAAACAGGGGGCTTATCTTTCCCCCAAAGATCGGATCCTGTTTGTCGAACCATCTAGATGCATTGATTGCTTATATATTGTAGGACACTACTAATTGTACCTTCATTGAGTATTCTCATGAATTCTGGGGAGAGTAAGAAAATTATGACACTGGTTGTAAAAGGTTTAGGTGATTCTCCATAACTTAATTTGCGTAGGAGATCAATGATAGCAATAACCATGTTCCTCCACTAAGAACCTCTCTATGCTCCTTCCTCACCACTCATTCGAGCACTTCTTTACCCTGAAGCCTGATCGTGTAGCCCACCCTTGTCCCAGCTTGATTATGACAAACAGGCAGTATCAGATCAAGGGAGAGTCGGAGCCTTGCTGCTGAGACATTATTAAATTGTAACAGTTTTTTTAGTAATCTGGGTGGGAGGAATATGAAGAATCCATGAGAGACTGGTGAGGCTTATGAATCATGAGCAGCCTTCAAAAGCGAGCTTTTATTCCTATTTTCGCATTCTATTCCAAACTGCCCTTCAAATGCTGCCTTGTAGGAATTAGGTGCAAAATTTGGTTGTTAATATCCGAAGCATTCTGAGGGTCATTTCCAATGCAATACTATTGGCTACAATTATAAAAAAAATGAAGTAGATGTGTGCGAGTGTAGTTTGCAGTATTATTACCGGGATTAAATGTAGACTGGGTAACATAAGCTTTTCTCCTGCTGAGTAGACATGCCAGTATGAAGGAAATTACTTGATAAAACAAAAAATGGTTACGTAACACAATAAATGAAACTAGTTTCTCCTTTTATGGACACAAAGTGTTAGTAGTTGATGTTGTCCACTCTACATGCTTTGAAAAATCGAGTTCTTACTCAACAACGAAACGGTTGTTGATAAGTTGACTTGGTTTTTCACTTTTTTTACCTTCTGTGGCAATAGATTGATAAACTGATTTGCCATTACTGAAAAACCTTCTGTTCTCCCTCACAATCCCTGGTTAACTAGAGGGGATACAACTCTTTCGCTTGTCTTTGTTTCACAACTTGTTCAAAATGATTTACTTCTCAAACAGCAGTTATATTAAATCATGGTTAACCAGCCAAGTAGTTTCTCATTCAGTTAGTTGTTAATTTTCAGGGGATGGTCAAAAGTCCCAGGCAGCAATTGGTCCGCCGGGAAAATACCGTGGTCATTTTGAGCTTGGATTCAGCCAGCCTATGGTGCATAACCCTATCTATTCTGATTACTTTCATTTGTTTATCTGTGAATCAATAACTTATTAGGAAGAAGGAATATTACTCTTGTTGCCATTGCTGATAAATCAATTCTTTGTGCGGAACTTGAACTATAGATCTGTGCAAAATATCCATATATGGATCAATGCTATGGACTCTTCTCAGCTTATGGACCTCAAATCTCGGTGAGCCTTCCATCGTTTCTCCTACCTTATAATATATGGAACTATTACATTTGCAATCATGTTAATTCCTTGAAAACAATATTTATGTTTCTCTGTAACCTGCTAATTTTGGAATATACCATCATTTCCTTGCTGATACATTACAATGGAAATATGAGAAATAGAACAGGTTTAAGAATAACTTTCATCCTATTAGTTTTGTTGTGAAGCATGCTAATCTCGATTTACGTTCTTGGTTGTCTACGATAATTTGTAGTTATGTGAACTAGAAACCATTAATGATTTAACTTGGAAAGTCTCTCTTAGCCCCCCTCTGTGTGTTTTCGTGAATAAGACTCAGCACGTCTCTGCTTGTTTTTGAGTTTTACGCTGGTTAAAAGTAGAACAAAGTCAAGACAAGTAGAGAACCGGTTTCTCTGCGAAAGAGGCGGCTGCCACTACTAATCCAGGGAAAATAATTCGGACAACATGAAAAGAATTGATTGTTGCTTTAGATTATTGAGGGTATGTCCTTTAAGCGTAGCAAATTTGCTGATGCACACACTTATCCGTTTGCAATGGATTAGGGACGCATTATGCTGCCGCTGAACTTGACTACGGATGAAGGACCAATCTATGTAAATGCCAAGCAGTACCATGGAATCATCCGTCGCCGACAATCCCGTGCCAAGGCTGTCATTGAGAACAGGGCAGCTAGACTCCGTAAGGTATGATATCCCAATTCGGTAGGATATTTCGGAAACAAAATGCACACCTGAGGAGAAAAATATTTCTCTTTTACAACGACATAGTCAGTTAGAATGACCTATGATCTTTTTTGTTTCTATAGCCGTACATGCATGAATCGCGCCATCGCCATGCAATGCGCCGACCAAGGGGCTGTGGCGGTCGTTTTCTGAACACCAAGACTATGAACAATGGGACCAAGGGAACTGAAGGGAAGCAAGGTAGTGATGGGCAGCTGTTTAGGCTTTCATGGTTCTCAGAGTCCTGAAGTCCTGCAATCCGACAGTGGAACTTTAAACTCGTCAAGGGAAACAAATGGCAGCAGTTCAAACATATCCGGGTCAGAGGTGTCAAGTATGTACTCTAGGGGAGATCTTGATCGCTTTTCAATCAATCATCTCGGTCACTCTTTGCACTCTCTGTCAAACATGATGGACAGTGCACGTGGTATGGTCATTCCGACCAAATGGGTTGCAGCAGGAGATAACCGCTGCAACCTCAAAGTTTGATAGCAAGGGAAAAGATGGGGTTGGTGCTAACTCCACTGCATCATCCCCATCTACTCCGCAACCAGATGGAGAAGGTTTGTTGCAGTTCTGTTACGGTTGTTGCAACAGGCTTTTGGGTCTACGATTGTCCTGCCCCCATTTGGTTGCTATCAAAAGGCAATTCATCCTTGGCTCATGCGGAAAGGTTTTCCTGCCATTCGATGCAGTCATCCTGTTCGGGCGGCTTGTGAAAACCTTGAAGCAGCATAAATTAATCAGTAAATTATTATATACGATTGTCTGGTGTGTGTTTGTGATCTAAAACTAGGAAAATTTGTTCTGTAATAATCTAATATCTGGATTTTTGACCTATTTGGGGTAATGTATAAGTGAATGTTTGTGTTGTATTCTGAATGTTTGGAAGAATAATGTATTATATCTTAAGACAGATTCTTGCACTATTGATATCAGGGAACATGCTCTCTTCGCTTGTAGCGACACCAGGCCAAACACGTAGACAACACATATCGGGTTACATTAATCAAGGCTCATTACAAAATTTACAAAGCAATACTTCACCCTGGAGTTGTGATTATCTTCACGTATGTGTGATTATATAAAGAGTACGGAGTGTCAGGATCATAAGCCTCTTTCGTCGCTCAGGTGTGAAGATAATCAAAACTCCTCTATGGAGAGTCGTCGAACCAAAGATCGATCAATCATGAAATGAGCTATAGACTCCCAGTAACTTATATAAGAACTTTGATTAGGCTTCGAGAGCATCTTAAGCATTTGTTGCAACCTTCGTTGCGACCACTGTTTAAGAAACATAAGCAAAAGTAATGAAGGATACCAAACACTTCCAAGGCTCTAGATCGGATATGGAGGAAAACGAAAAATTAACCTAAATCAATGAAAAACCAATATTTTCAGAAAAAAAAAAAACAATGTCAGATTCACTGTTAGGAGGGTTACCAAGTCAAGAGTTAAAAAAGTTAAGGCATGTTTGGTACTTTATTTGAATCCAAACTTTTTAAACTCAAAAATATTTTTCAAGTTTTAGGCATTAAAAACTTGTTTTTAAAAAGCTAAATTCAAGACTAACTTTAAAAATATAACTTATTCTCTAAAAACACTAAAAGTGAGTTTTTAGAGTTTTTAAACTTAAAACTCACTCATTTCGTTTTTCTCTCTCCTCCCCTCTCACTCTGAATCTCTCTCTTTTCTTCTCTCTCTCATTCTTCTCTTTTTTTTCTCTTCTTCATTCTCTCTTCATTCACTCTCTTCTCTCTTCATCATCCTCTCTGTCTCGTCTGATCTTTTCTCTTTTTTTCTCTCTCTTTCAATCATCTCTCTTCTCTCTCTCCTCTAATCCTCTCTCTTCTCTCTCTCTCTCTCTCTCTCTCTCTCTCTCTCCCTCCCCTTCTCTAGGGACTTCCTTTTTTTGGATCACTTTGTCCAGTTTAAATTTTAAGATTTAAAAATTTTAAATCTCATGCCAAACAAGTTTTTTAGTTTTTTTGTAAGAAAAAATATTTTGAGAAAATAAATTTTTTTGAATAGGATACCAAACGGACCCTAAGTAATTATAAGAAATTTAAAACACATTACATCACAAATGACAACCCGAAGAACCAAGGAGACTTGTACAAGTGCACTCTTGAGGCACAACACATGAGCATTCATTCCACGGGGGAGAGTGTAGGAATATGCACATACAAGGACTAATCCTGCACTGATCGTACCGGAAACAAACGGCAACAGACCCACCTCCTACGTTATGCGTGTGTCGTGCCGCGCAAATTATCAAGCAGAATTTAAATCTGTTGTTATATTTCTATATGTTGTTGTTATCGAATTTCTAATACTATCCTTAGTAGCCTCTTGGCTGTCTAATGTCTATGACTTGTTTACAAAGATGAGAGAAATTTAAATGACGTGTTTTAAAACTATAGGGCCACATAAGGGGTCAATGAAATTGTTCATAAATATAAGACACAGTTTGGGCCTAAAATAACCTTGGGTCGAGATAGGCTGATCCAAGGATCACGATTCTCAACGCAATATGCGTCCTTTAGGCCAATAGGATGTTAACCCATAAATAGGATCGACCGAGCCCTTATGAAAGAAGGATTGTGAAGAGATCAAGCATGGGTTGTTCGGTCAAGTCCCATATGAATAAAATTGCCAGGGATCAAATTGATCTTTGGATAAGTGAGAATTATTAGCATCAAAATGCATGCATGACCAAATAAAGATGAATACATCTCGTAACAGCGCTAGGTTCAGAGTCCTGGCGAGAATCAAAGAAGCTAGGACTGGATGAAGATGAAGTTTCGGCTTATAGGGATAAAGGAATATTCGAGCGAATGTTGAGCCAGCACAATCCCATCAAGATTCTGCCTTGACATGCTTGTTTATCACAGAGGCTTCATCTAGAGAAGGCTCTGCAACATTGAAATTCTCTTCAACTCAACACATTATGCACCAAAGCCCTCGCTCTACGCGAAACCCTTCTCACAACCCTGTGAAAAACATTATCCTAACTCTCTCGTCAACACATCTTCAGTTTTAACTAACAACACTGTGTTGACATCCAGAGACATCTTCAACTTGACTAACATCACTGGACCCGTAAAACCAAGCGATCAAGAAGCACCTTTGGTTTGGACTAACAGCAGTGCCTCTAGTCGGTTGGTTATCTATCCAATTATCGACTGGTGACGAGTTTTCAACTTATTCACCGAAAAAGTCACTTCATTAGCTTCCCAGTAATGAGTAATCTATGATTAATTACTTTCAAGTAGGATGTAATTAGCTCATAGCTACTTGGATTTACATGTCACGTAGGCATTTTTGTAATTTTTAAGGTCAACATATACTATGCAAGGGAAAGAACACAAAAGAAGTTCTAAGAACATCTTCAATGAAAATGTCAAATCATAAAAGTCAATTACAATTGATAGTTGATATGGCAATCTGAAGTTTTATGTCAAATTTGGTATTTCTTCAACCAAATTGTCAAATATTATTTTCTTATTATTGTAGAGCTTTAAATGGTTGTATTTATTAGAAAAATTATTGAAACAAAATTTTTAGAGAGAACTAATAAAATTCCCTCATAAAATTTTTATCGAAAAACACTTGGAAAACTTTTCTTATTATTAAGACATTTTTTGTATTATAACCGCAAAAAAAAAAAAAAAAAAAAAAAAAGAGACACTTTATGAGAATTTTGAATTAAAAAAATATCCTTAGTAATAATAAAAACGTGACCTCAATGTTAAAGAAAATTGTCTAAGAGTTTTTAATAAAATAAAAAAGTTTGGCAAGGTCTATTTAATTTCTATTTTTATTGTTTGAAATTCTAGTGGAATAAGAGACCCACCATTATACTAATAAAAATGAAAATGAAAACTGATGTTAAATTTAACTCCTAATCACAATACTTAGATTCAGTAAGCAAATAACACTTTTATATCAACTATGCATACTAATATCTCCACCTAGAATTTAACATTTACTTTAGAGATCCATTTTCTCTCTTTAGACTTTCTCTACAACACTTGTATAATTATTGACTTATTGTTTTATTAATATTGACCTAATAAGGCATCATGTATTTTCCTACACAAAAAAAATCTACTCAATTGTACATGAATGTAAACCACCATGGGTGGTTTAATGGTTGAGGTGAATTTCAGGCACGTATTTCACATTGTTCATTCTGGGTTCGATTATTAGCGCTGATAAATTACACGATGGTGGAAAGAAAGAGGCTGAAATGTCTCTGTGAGTTTTTCCAGCCCCATATGAGTGAAATGTCGTAGCTTAACCCTGATTCCATTTTAACAAAATAAATAAATAAAGAGAAATTTTATTTGAACCCATCTAACCTCTTGCTACACCCAACTTACTCTTTACATCCATATTGTTTTCAATTAAACTGTCAATATCTCTTTAAACCAAATTTACTACTTCAACTACCCTCAAACCCAATTCAATATGTAAATTTATTTTTATAACCATTTGAAAAATAAAAAACCCAAATCAAAGCATTCTCTCCTTTGCCATTCTCTCCTTCCAACAGTTGCTCTTGATGGCCACTTAGTACTACGGTCTAGTGGTATTCCTCTTCACTTGTAAGTGAGAGGTCTTAGGTTTGATTCTTGTCACGGGCAAATTTGAACCACATTATTACTAACTCATTGTGAGGCTAAGCTCACCCCCTCCCCGTATTATAGATAATATCGTTTGTTCAAAAAAAAAAAAAAAAAAAAAAAAGTTGCTTTTGATGCAGTCTTCATCACTCGCTACAGCGTTGCTCTCGTTAAATCTTAGGTTGCTTTGCGTGACCATGCCAAACCAGTCGTCCCCTCTAAACTACCCTCAGGCATGTATTTTGGCTTCTCCAACACACACGCTAGTGTGTGCCTATATTGAGTTGGAGTTCACTATGTTTGTACTGAAAGGCCTCATTGAATTTGAGTTTTATCCAAATGTTGTAATGTTCTTGGTAGGTCGCAGAAACAACACTAATGAACTTAAAAGTTTTCTAATATCTTTTCGATTTATCAATCTACATAGATTTTATATGAATTATATGTAAGTTGTAATTTTCAAAAGAAACTTGAAAGATTAGAAAGACGAAGAAACGAGAACTATTGTGATGTCAAAGAAAGAAGCATTAAAAAAATGATGAACAAGTACACAAATGTAAATTGAAAAACGGCATTTTCTTATAACATTATGAGTTTATGAACACCACATTAAGTTCAACCAAAAAATACCTTCGATATCATGTGATTTCTAACTAATCAAGGAATTGTCTACACAAAATTTAACCTCGTCAGATAATTAAAAGCATGTGACTATAATGTACTTGGTTTAAAATCATTACTGACGAGTCTAATCTCCACTGTTCTAGGCGGCGCTAAGCGGTTGGTCACCGCTCCAATTAATACCTAGGTATTTGAAAATTAAGAAATGACGCCTAAAACTGCTGGGGCGCCCGCCTAGACAAACTCATCCAGGGAACAAAGTGTTAATTAAATTAAAGAGGTATTAGCCAATTTATTGAGTTTTGTCAAAATAGAACGTAAAAGAAAAAGGGATGTGCTATCCACACACCTCTTTTTACTTCTCACACACTCCTTTTTAATTTCTGTCCGTTGGTATTCTTCAATACATTCGATCCGACGACCGAAAACCAAAAAGGTATGAGAGAAGTAAAAAGGGGTGTGTGGATATCACACCCTAAAGAAAAATTACATGATGATTAGGATTCAATTATTGGTTGTGGATTTATTGATAAATCTAATTTTTATTATTAATTTAATCTTATACTTGTTGTGTAATAGGTTAATAAAAATATTTCATATTTAAAATTTAAATTGGACATAGAAAAAAATTATATGAGTTCACATAAAAAATTTCATAAATAAATTT